TGCAGGCTCAGCTGCCACTTGGCTGACCATTTTCTAGTCTGCAGCTCTTCCTCCTGTCTCCCAAGGTCATTCGCATAAACCATTACAGTCATCATCATCATCATCATCATCATCTCATATTTAGGGAGTCTGTGCAGGTCCAGAGGCATTTTTGTAAGTTACAGTCTGTCACTTTGTTTTGCAGTATGCCAGCTGTCCACTTTGTAATTAAATTACTGTTAAAAACAACCCCTAAATTGGGACCCATATTCACTACATTACCTACATCTGGTGTAAATAAAAAGTTTTGAAAGAGGATTGCCATTTTAACAAATTTTGACTATCAGGCTTTACACTAAGTGAAAAACTCCCTCCTGCTGCTTTGAGCTGGGATACTGAAATGCTTCATTAATAACTTGGTTATTCATACAGTCGGTATATATAACATCCTTGACCATGCTGGACAAGATTTAAAGAAGAGTTTGCTTTTTACTGGGTCACTCCCATGAGCATTTCCTTGTTGCTTCCCAATAAATAAAGCTGAGTTACTTCTGGAAAATCTGCATACAACTGATTGACTGACACCTAAAATGGAGCCCCACTCTTCACTGGAATCATCAGTTCCTGAGGAAACTTCATGGCATATAATAAATCTGCTTTATTTATTTTGCCTTGTACAGTACAACTTTTTAATGTATGCATATATAATGTTTTAAATAATATGCTATTTTGCATGGCTTGTCAGAAAAGCATTGTATACAGTAAGTGAAGTAAATAAATGCAGGATTGTACTGCAGTAAAATGCCAAGAAAATCAGTAGTTAGACTCATTAAAATCCACTGCTTAGCTAAATGGCCTTCATTTGCTTTTTAAAATGTTTTTGTTCCAGAATACCACATCTGGAACAAAATATACCACATTTAATCTAGCTCTGTGGGACATATTTTCTTCTCTGTTCATTCTCCAGTTGCATATTTGCCAATAAATAAATTCTTTTCCCCAATTAAAATTTCACCGATTTCATGGGAAAGAGATTACATGAAGTTATATACTATATGATTCATTATAAAATGCCTATATATTAACATTGATTTGGACTTCATGAAATAGGAGTCTCTTAAATGACACAAACCTCATTTTGTGTCATTTAAAAGACTCCTATTTCATGAAGACCAAATCAATGTTAATATATAGGCATAACTAATATATAGTTAATTTGAATGACTGCCTGTCAAAGAGCTCATGCAAGTTAAGTCCAAAAATCCATATTAGGATAAATTGCACTGAATCATAAGGTAATTTATTTGGAATTCTATCATGGTTGGTAAATCATAGCTTATGGCTCAGTATGATGTGACCTCAACCAACCTTGATTTAATCAATAAACCATGGTTAAACAAACTAAGTTTTAGGGAAATGTGCAAACCCTGACACTTACCTAATTCACACATTGTACTGAACCATAGTTCAACAAACTATTATGCTTGGAGTTACACAAAATGCTAAGACATAGAGTACTATAAATCTGTGTTATCCTTAGCAATATATGCAGACAATGTATTAGGTAGATTACTTAAAAGAAAATCATTAGAAGCTATATGGAAAACCAATCAGAAGGACTTCTGCCTCAAAAAGGTAGCTTGCCCTCAGATTTTAATTTTTTTATTTTTAACAGATCTGCAAGCGTTGGCAATTGGGTTATGCTGGCTAGGAGTCCTAAGAGTTCTGCTCCTAACACATCTGGATCCCTCCAAAATGAGGGAAGCTGTTATAAGCAATGTCTGTAGAACACAAGCAGAAAAGGCGCTCCCGCCCAGGCAACAGCAGGCAGAATGCTAGAGACAGATTAGGGATTTGACTTTCTGGGATTTTTATTTGGGGAAAAAATGTACAAGACCAGCCAACTGCCTGACATTTTCTTCTTTTCATTTCAAATGTAATCCTCCCACACCTACAAGATCCAAAGTTAGGATGGGACTGCTGATCAAAAGCAGAGGAAATTATGACAGAAAACGAAGCCCCAGCAGGGCAGTGTGGTCCTGGAAAGGCCTCTGAGAAACATCATGTACCTTTCTCTTTCCAAATCTTTAATGGAAAAAAATTGTGTCATAAAGGTGCCATCTTTAGAAATTTCATGGAATGCACTGAATGTTCTGAATGCTTATTGTTAAAGGGAAAAAAAAGCTTACCAAATAAAATATTCTATGCAATTGGAATGCTGCCTTGGAAAAATAGTCTTTTTCCAGTCCATCCTCTTTCTCCCTTGTATTTTATAAATCTAACCTTTCCACAAAAGAACAAAATGCAACTACAATTTGTCCACTAAATGCAAAAACAGTAATTGCAAGCAGTAAAGTGGCTGACTCAAGCTCTGAAGTTTCATGGGCCTACGTTTGTATCAGTACAGATCAGACCCTCCTAGTCAGCTGCTCTCCAGGTGCATCCAGGTGATAACTTCCACAATTACCAGTTAGTGTTGGAGCTGGAATCCCAGCACATGAGTTTGGAACAGCTGCATTGGAATATTGCACTGAAGTTGAATACTGGGTTTCATAATGTTCAAAAGGATGTGCAAAAGACTTTGATGGTTCTTTGCTTTTCCTTCAAAAATTTGTCAGTAATTAAAACAGATGAGCCCTTCTCGTTTGTTTTGACCCTCATATTTAACAAAGATGCGTAAGAGGAGTTCACACATTGCACAAAGCCATACTGTGGTATGTATAAATATTACCTTATCACACTGTATGAACCCAGCCATTGTGACTTATAAATAAGGGCTTACAGTTTCATATCCATGAAGTAGGCCTTTTCTGGATGTTCTCACAGGACAAATAAATTATAAGACCATATACATCCACACCTGCAGTGCTACAGGAAGAACAGGAGTGAATTGTCTAGACATGGGTGCTCATGTCTGAGCCTATACCACGATGATAAGGGCAGTGAAGCAGGCTCACTTCTCTGTTCTTACTGCATCCATGGACTTTGCTTCAGAAACCTAACATACTCACTGTTATAGGGTTGGAAACAGGAAAATCTTTCCAGTGATAATGATGGACGGGGAAACACTTCCTAGAGGCCCTCCTAGATTGCTGACAATTACTAGGTAAACAGATGGAAGCTGTGGCTTGGGGAGCTTTTGTCCAGCTTCAGCTGATATACCAGCTGTGACTCTTCTTGGAAAATCTGGCAAGTTAACCCATTACCTTGTGGCTGAACTACTACACTTTTTATGGGGCTGCCTTTAAAGACTACTCAGAAGCTACAATTGATACAGAATGCAGCAGCTCACTTGGTGATGAGAGAAGCTACCACTGCCACAAAACACCAGAATTGCTAGGCTTCTGAGTACAATTCAAAGTGCTGGTTATAAGTTAAAGAGCTTTTATGGCTTGGCCTCCTAGGTATCTACAGGACTGCCTACTTCAGGGAGAACCATCCCATCCAATGAATTCAGCCATCAAATGAGATCAGAAGAGAGAGGGCAAAAGCAAGTCATTGTTCATGTTATGTGCCTCTTGTGTGGAACATCTTGCTTCCAGAGATTTAGGCAATGCCCTCCCTTGCTGTGCTTTCAGAGCAGTAACATAGAGCTCCTTTGCAGGGCATTTGATGTATGAATTATGGAGGAACCGCTCTCATGTCAGGTTGTTTAGATTTTGGGGGGGGGAGGGGAGGAATTTTTAATGTTTGTTTTTACAGATTCTATATGTTGTAAACCACTGTCTTATTCTGCAATGGTCAGTTTCTGCTGCTATATTCTGTACCGGTTGTAGCTTCCAAGTCATCTTCAAAGACAGCCCCGCCTAGACCCTGTTGCAATACTCCAATCTCATGGCTGAGCAGCTAACAAAGATTTTTTAATCACTGTTTAATCACAGTAAGAAAGGAAGCAATAAAATGCACCAGCCCAGGGACACTAACACACACAACCCATAATTAAAACACGCTCAAATAGCATCCTAGCTCAACCTAGTCATTTTAAATAAATTCAATTACTGCAAAGCATCAATAAACTTCTAATCGTCTTCTATCAAAAAAAAGCCAAACTCAAGAACACTCTGCTCCACTGACTTGGAAAAATGAGGTAAGCTTAACAAGGTGTACAGGATTGCTCCGAAATAGCTGAGGCTCACACTATTCTTTGCCGTTCTTATTCTGTCTTTTTCAAAGTGACACAACTTTATCATTAAAGGGAGAAAAAAAAAAAGAGATGAAATACTCTTGTTACATTTGTGTGTTTAATTTCTTCCAAACAGAGAGAGAGAGAGCATGCAATGCTTCTCTTCATTAATTTAAAACTGGGATGATTGCTGAGTCCTGGATGCAGTTGCTTTGGTTACCATTCTGCTGGGCACAACAACAGTTATTCAGCCAGCAAGGAACACCCCACTCTACCCCACCCACTGCTTGTCTAATATCCTAAGAAGAAAGCAAAGGCAGATGCCATGCCTCCTGTTCAGACAGACTGTAACTGTACAGGTTGCTCTCCCTCTGGGAGCCAACTTGTTCTGCCAACAATGTGTAATGCCTTGTCCTGTCTATAAATGGTCTGAACTGTGGTAGCTCTGGTCATCTAATTCATCCTGGTAATATCCTGCAGAATAATCATAGGAAGGGCTTATGCAGGTAATATGTTTGTAGAGACGTGGCAATGTCTTTGCAAGCTTCTTGCTGTTTACAACAGCATACTCCCTTGTCTCCACTGCCACACCACTGTTTGGGTTTGAGTGTGTGCACATGAATAAGCACATCAAGTAGCAACTTCTTATACTTAAAAACAACTTCTCAAAAGCACAATTTCTCCAAGGGTGATAAAAACGTATATAGTTCTGCATCACTATCATGGATATGCTGAAACACAATTCTCCCATGACTGATGAGATGCAAATTGACCTTTCTTAAATCAGGAAAGAAAAAGAGCACATCTCTCTTTTACTATCCACATTCACATTTATTTCTCCAAAGCAAAAATGAAAACTAATGCCAAGTTCCCTCTTTGCTTCTCTTCCTTGCAATAGCTTTTCCATTTAAATGGCTTTCCTTTGAACCATTTTTCAATCTTTGAATAATGTATAGTTTTCCTTTTATCTTGAAGTAATAACAATATATGTTAAATTAAGAGATTGTGAGTAGGTCTGCACATTAAACTAAGCCATTATTTGCTTAAATACTGTTTACTGAATAAATCATAATAGCAGGAGTCACAGAAGACACTAATCCAAAATCAGCTGACAATATGGGATAATATGATACATGAATTCAGTCACAGGTAATTGTACTAAGTAATTATGTGTTAAAGCAGAGTTTGTTGAAGATGACACAGTAGTTTGGTTCATACACAATCAATCACGAAGTATAGTTTAAAAACCACAATTTCTGGTTCATATACTATGCTACAATAAAACCATTTGGGCTTACTAATAACAACAACAATTATTATTATTATTTATATGCCGCCCAACTCCCAGCGACTCTGGGCAGTTAGTAATAGTAGTAGTAAATTTTGGTCATTGTCCACTTCAAAAACAAAAAAAATTCTGAGACCGCAAATTAAAAGCATAAGACAGTAATTATAAAACTGATGTGATCAAACTATGGCATAATTTACAAAAACAAAACTTAGCCATGTTCAGAGAAATAAAAACACATTGATCAAACAGTAACAACTGTAAATAAAATGGAGGTGGCCTGGAAATCTGACTAAATGGGGAATTATTAGCTGCAGCAGGCATCTTTATAATAAGGGCAATATATAAGGACAAAACAAGGATTAACGTTTCAAGAGATCCTTCATGCGGCACAATCTTTGTTCAAATGGGATGTCCTGTTTTTCCTCTCCAAAACAGCTGTTGGAAGGGCAATAACCTTGCCGGGGTTAGGGACTTCTGAATTTGCATATGGTTATCCAGTCTGCTTTAATAATGGTAAGCAACTACTCCCCCCACATCTTTGGGTATGGCAGCTAGGTCTGATCTGATTGGGTTTCCAAACCCTTGGCACACTGTTCAAAGACTGCCACTGTGCACTCACATCCCATCAGGTTTGCATCGGGTTTGGGCTTAGTGTAACTGTGAGTCTGGTTGCAAGAAAAAAAGGTGGAGAGGGAAAAAGCAGCAAAAGCAAGCTCTGATACCAACTCTTAAAGCTATTATCATTGTCAGTTAGGTTGAAAACAGTTTGGGTTACATCATGCAAAAGGTTGCTGTGGAAGTGCCAGCTGGAGAGAGTGCAAAGCAGCTAGTTGTTCAACAGAGATGAAACAGGTCTGCTTGTTCTCTCCCTCTGCTCTGCAACTTATGCTACCAAGGGATAGCTAAAGGATGCCCCAAATCTGTTGATCAAATGCAATATATTGTGAGTATAGCAACCTTCCCAACTGGTGCTCTGCAGATATGCTAAGTCTATAACTCCCAGAACTCGCAGTCAGCTGACCAACTAATGGGAATTCTGGGAAATAGAGTCCTTAAGAAATGTATTTGTTTCCCTCACTATCAGCAAAGGTGGCCCTTCAACCTTAAATATCATTCCAGTCTGTTCACAGCCACCCTGACCCAATCTAGAATTTGACCACACTGCCTCTCCTTTCTTTCTGCTTCTAGCACTTGGTTGCACCATTTCCCCTTCCTATCCTGCTGAAATCCAGGTTTCTCTAAGCCCTGCAGATCTTCCCCATCAGACTGCTAGCCTGTGTGGGCAGTGGCAAGGGATGGTAGGACTTGTAGCCCAAACCAGCTGGAGGGCAAGGGATTATTCCTGCTCTAGGCCCAGTGAAATTATTTCAAGGTAGTCTTACCCCAGATTGTAGCTATGGAGATCAACCTCAGGGTCGCTTGACACCCCTTTCAAGATGGTGCTGGTTGGGACTAAAGCTCCTCTCATCAACTAGAATTGAACATTCTACCGGTATGGATCAGTCAAGCCAAAAATATTTCTTTTCTACTCCACCTTTGAAGGGAAAAATGATGACATTACAAACAACATGAATGGTAATTTAATATACTCAACAGGAAGAAAGAAAAGGATACATTATTATTATTATTGTTGATTGCACAGTCAGCCAGATGTTTAGACCAGATTTGGCATTTTTATCCTCCTAGCAAATCCTTCCCAAGGACCTGGAAAAGCCAGATGTTGTTGTTTGACGGTGTTAAAGGTATTGTCACAGGATATAGGCTGTTCCAAGTAAAGCTGCCTTTTGCGA